CACTCGTCATCGAGTGTCCTTGTTATGACTTCTAATTTCCCTATTGTTCGGGACTGTCCTCTTCCTTTCCGGTGTCACGTGGGCTGTGACGTAGTTTTGGGTGGTTTTCTTTCCTTCCCGGTCACGTGGGCTGTGACGTAGGGATGGTGGGTTTCTTTACTCTCCGGTCACGTGGGCTGTGACGTAGAGATGGTGGGTTTCTTTTCTCTCCGCGACGATGTTTGACAGCGTGAGTGTAGGGCGTGGGTAACGCGGGGCAAGGGGAAGGGATATCTCGGGAGTGGGGTGCCAACGGTGGTCGGTTTATTCCTTTTTTCCTTAACCTAATCCTTAATCTATTATATATGTAAAACAATCATCATTAGGGGGCAGGGGAGGGGCTAAAAAGTGCCTCGTCACAAAGTCCATAAGTATTTTGTACTTAAAATCTTTTTGAGTTCTAAGTCTTGCTGGAATTAAGACTTGAAAAGGATACAATCTTCAGTTCTTTCGGTACTTCGGACATGAAAATTACTAAGTCCTTTTGGACTTTCGACTTCATAAAAAATAATTCCCAAGTAGGTTGTTAAATATCTGATCCACATTTCTAAGAAGCGAATACACACACAACACTAACACATACGGTCGGTCACTCGTGACGGGAAAAATCCCGAACCTAACCGAGGAGCCGACTAGCCAACGCAGTCAAATCTCAAAATCAGTTATTCATCGTACTCAGAACTGAACTCACATCTTTTGTTATCACTTAAATTCTCTCAGAAAATTATCACGGAACGCAACAGCTATTAGAGAAAATTATCTATCTGAATCATTATCATACGGTCCACTAAATTATCGAATTTGACCAAAACGAATGGAAACTCAACTTCTGTAAATAGTGTACATAACGACATTTTCATTTAACGCAATCAGTGAAAATCAACGTAAAATTCGTAATTGACCAACACCACCCGACCCCGGGCGCATATACATAGAAACTCATACATAATTTCTAACATTTGGCCCTTCGAGCCGGATAGTGGTGGCAAAAGTCGGTCAAAAATCATCAAATCAGCGAGGTAAATCATCAAAAAACCGGGAAAAATTGATAAAATATTCGGCGAGTTCACGATTCAAACGTCGAAGTATCATCACATCACATCGGAATTCACGCGAGTGAATGGAATCAAAAGACAATAAAAGTATTAGCGAGTGAACAATCTCGAACAAGTCATTGTTGTCGCGTGTTTACATGAAACCGGTATCGGAATCAATTTGAAATCTGATCGAATAAACCCTCGAAACTCAACGGACAACATCCCCTCCATAGAACTGCACGAGCAAAGCATCTTCTCAGAATTGTTTTCTCGAGTCAGCCACCCCGCGGCGAGGAAAATAGAACCCTCCCTGCGGCCGACGTAAGTACAACTTACTTCATCTCACTGCTAATACCCATTAAACTATCAACTAAAGTGGGATTTTTACAATTTGTTAAAAAATGGATGGAGCAAACAAAGACGCCGATCAAGACCAATCAACAAAGGAGCTAGAGAAAACCGTTCCGGAGAGCTGGGCTGACGCAGAGAACGACGACGCCTACAAGGAAGCAGTTAAGGAAAAAACCCCTCTTGACGACAAAGCAATAGTGCAGCACCTAGTTGGCCAGTGCCCAGGCCAAAACGAAACGGTCAGCAAGACGAAAAGGAGCAGAATAACATCAGCATCATCATCAGAGGATGAGAATCACAAGGCATTACCTCCCCCTCATCCACCCCTATACAACGGTTGTATTATCGCAGGGGCACTAAGACAGCAAGCACGCCTGAATCATCTACGAAGCTTGCACCAGACTATCAGGACTCTTAACCCTGAGATCGTAAGGGAAACTCAACTAGATAATTATCAAACTCAAGCCAGCAGATTGTTCGATGTCTTCACCAGATACCACGAGTCATTGACTTCAACAGCATCCCGACTAGATCTGAAACACACGTACTACGTGTCTCAGTACTTCGAAAAAATGATGACACTCCACGGGCAAATCAGCGAGATACTGAGCGAATACAAGGGTATTATTTACGAAAGACATCGCCCATCGATCCCATAACGAAGAAATAGTGAAACAGACAACAAGCTGCCCACAATGGATTTACCAAAATTCAGCGGACAGTATAAGGAATGGAAGTCATTCATCGATGGATTCAAAATGATGGTTGGACAGAAGAGGAATATCACCCCAATCGAGAAGATGATCAGACTGGAAGGCTGCCTAGTAGGGGATGCGAGAACCATTATCGCAAATCTGACAACAACAAACGAACACTACGAGATTGCAATGCAGAAACTCACTAATCGCTACGACAATCAGAGGCTAATCGTCACCTCATTGCTCACTAACCTCATGAGCATGACACCAATGAGTAACAAGTCGGCGAAAGGTCTCAGTGAAGTCATCGATATAACTACATCAACACTCGACGGGTTAAAAGCACTGCACATCAACATAGAAGGCTGGGATGCAATCATCAATCACCTCTTGAGGACAGCAATCGATCCAGGCACGAGGGAAAAATGGGAAGAGAAGCTAGGAGCGTCCACCACGGTGCCCCCATTGCAGGAATTTATGGAATTCCTAAAAGCCAGAGCAAATCCCCTCGAGAGTGTCGATGACAAAAACCAAACCAACCCAACAACAGGGAAAAGCCATAACTATGGAAAATCAAACGTAATTAGGAAATCCACGGTTCATACTCACACAGCATCCAGCACGAACACTCGAAGAGAAAAGAGATCAGAAATAGTTCCAGCGAACCAGGTAGGATCCAAGGACAAGAGCTGCGTACTATGCAAGGGAAATCACTTCATAGGATACGCCTGTACAAAGTTCAAGGACATGACGCTTAAGCAACGAAGAGAAACCATTCAACAGCCGAATCTATGCTGGAACTGCCGAGGACCTCATAAAGTCGAGAATTGCAGCAGTGAACAGACGTGTCAAATATGTGCTAGTCATCACCATATATTAATTCACGAAACCAAAAACATCGCCTCAGCAAGTGAGAAAACTGGCACATCAACATCATCAAGTCCCAATAACTGACTCATAGTAGGAAGGAGACACAAAAACCGAAACTCATCTAAAAGCAACACCTGGCAAAGAGCACGTAAGGTAACAGGAAATTCACCAAGTATCAGCAACACCGTCATCGAGACCAACAACGACAAGACATCGCTCAAGAAATCTCTGAAGCAAAGGAACCTCCACAATCAGGTGTCATCCACACTATCTCCAGGTACTGCAGATATCGACATTTAGATGTCATCTACCTTATCTCCAGTTGCTAGATGCTCGACAATCAGAGTTCAAGGCAAATTAAAGGGTCATCATCCAGGTGTCTCCAACCCAATCTTCAAAAAATTTCCAATGCTATTAAAAATCAGATGTCTTCTAACAGTTGATGGGTTAGAAACCAAACCGACCTATCAACAGCTGATCACACTTCCAAATTGAGAAATCTAGCAACAGACGTCGCAAAGGCAATATCTGCTCAGGATGCCGAAATACCTGTCAAGATACTCATCGATCAAGGATGAGACATTACGCTCATCACCGAGAATCTCGTCAACAAGCTCAAGTCGAAGAGGCAATCTTCCAATGTCAGCATTGTTGGCATTGGGACATCATCACCAGGGAACTCAAGGGGTATTGTCAAAGTAACACTTCAATCTAATTGCGAAACCGCTGAACAACTCATCGTAAACGCCTACACCCTCAAAAGGCTCACTACAAAAATACCATCATACACCTGCAAACCACCGAAACTCAAGCAACTCAACGAGCTAGAATTAGCAGATGCCACTTTCTGCGAATCAGGAAATGTAGACCTCGTCATCGGCTCAGATTACTATGGGAAACTCATCAAGGGTAAATTAATCAGACTGTAACGCAGCGATCTAATAGCACAATCTACAATATTCGGTTGGACCATCTCCATGAATACATCACACAGATATTCACGTGCCTCATTTTTACAGTGAAGAAGACAGCAAATCAAGAACTTCTTGAACTGATCAAAAAATTTAGGGTACAAGAGGAAGTCAGCTGCAAATCAACAGAGTCAATAACACCGGAGGAGCAGGAATGTGAAGATCACTTCATCAAAAATACTTCCAGAGACGAGGATGGTCGATACATCGTACGTCTTCCATTCAAATCATCACCAAAGGCGCTGTGAGAGTCCAGATCAACGGCATTAAAACTACTCAAGCGAACGGAATCAAAATTGGAGAAAAAAATGAACTTCGGGAATTTGTACAAGGATTTCATCAATGAGTATGAAAACTTGAATCACACGAGACGAGTACCATCAACCCCAGAGCCAGTATTATCATTCTACTTCCCTCACCACGGAATTCTTCGTGAAGCGAGCCTTACAACCAAGCTCCGAGTAGTCTTCAATGGGTCATCAAGAACATCAACAGGTATATCATTAAATGACATTCTCAATGCTGGTCCAAAATTACAAATTGATAATCTAGATGTGCTCACATGGTTCCGGAAACATCGCCTAGTATTTGGCGCGGACATCATCAAGATGTTCCGACAAATTAAAGTACACGAAGATGACTGGGATTATCAACGGATTCTATGGTACAATGAAGCTAATAACCTCGTAGAATTTCAAATGACAACAGTCACGTATGGAGGAACCTCAGCTCCATGGTTATCCCTACGTGTTTGTGAAGAACTAGTCAAGGATGAAGGACACAAGTATCCCAAGGCCGTAGCAGCAATGACCAGAGGAAAATTCGTAGATGATATCTACGATGGAGCAGACACCGTACAGGAACTTGAGGAAAAGGTAACTGAACTGAAAAACCTCTGCATGGCGGGCGGATTCCCTCTCTCCAAGTGGTGCAGCAACAGTCCTCAGTTACTCGAGAAACTCAAGGTCTCAGCACAACACGAATCATCAACACAACTATTTGAGGACACGGAATCAAAAGTACTTGGCATCAAATGGGATCAACAGAAAGATACACTCCAGATCACCGTAAAAGCAGCGAGCAGGAGAGCAATCACCAAGAGAATCATCCTCTCTCAAATAGCTCAAATTTACGACCCAATTGGCATCGTAGCTCCAGTAATAGCCAGAGCTAAGATCATCATGCAACAAGTATGGAAACGCAACGTAAACTGGGATGATCGACTACCTGAGGACATCACTCTCATCTGGAAAACATTCAGGGAGGAACTGGAACACCTCAGCAAAATCAACAAATCAAGGTGGTTACATTTTAGGACTGAAGATCAAGTGGACATTCGCGGCACGGCTTCGCGGACGCATCCAATCTCGCAATGGGAGCGGTACTGTATCTCAGGGTAACCTCATCAACATCTCCACCGGTCGTGACACTAGTAGCAGCCAAAATGAAGGTCGCGCCATTAAAGAAAATCACCATCCCACGCCTGGAACTGGGAGCAGCATTAATCATGGCTGAACTCACAACCAAGGTACAAAAGCTACTTGATCTTGAACACATCAACCCAACACTTTGGAGCGACTCATCCGTAGCTCTTACATGGATCAAAGCTCATCCCTCCAAGTGGAAGGACTTTGTCCAACATTGAGTTCAAAAAATCCAAGATACTCAACCAACAGCAACATGGAGACATATCAGCGGAATTTACAACCCCGCTGACTGTGCCTCCAGAGGTGAAACAGCTGAACAACTAGTACGAAATCAATTGTGGTGGTCAGGTCCACCACGGTTGTGATTTTCAGCAGAGTCTTGGCCTACAACATCAATAGAAAAAATATCACCCGAGGCCAGCATCGAGGACAGACCAACAACAGCTACAGCTTATCCAAGACAGTTAGTAACAGATCACAACGAGCTATTACTGAGGTATTCCAAGCTGTCAGAGCTACTTAGAAACACGGCACTTGCACGGAGAGCCTCTGACATCCTTCTCAAACGGCGAAGATCAACCTCTTCATCAGCCACATTAACCGAAATCGAATCAGAAAGGAAATATTGGCTGACCTACACCCAGTCGACATTTTTTGCTGAGGAAATTCATCGAATAAGAGAGAACACTTTACTACCGAACGGCCATCCACTGTTGAAACTCATGGCGTACCTCGACGAGGAAGGCACACTGAGAGTGGGTGGCAGACTAAGAAATGCGGCTCACCAAGGAAGAGCAACATCAGATAATCATCCCACGATCATCGAAACTCACCCACCTAATCATCAACGACGCACATGAACGAATATTACATGGGGGAACGCAGCTAACACTTTTTTTAATGCGCCAAAAATACTGGATGATAGGAGGAAGAGCACCAGTTCGTTCAGTTATCCAAAAGTGCATCACTTGTGCTCGGTATCGTGCTCAACGAGCTCAGCAAATCATGGGACAACTACCTTCAATGACAGTCAACCCTTCAAGAGCATTTCAACATACTGGAGTTGATTTTGCCGGCCCGTTCACAGTGAGACGATGGAGAACCGCAGGAGCAGTCACCTACCAAGGATACATTGCGCTTTTTATATGCTTCGCTACGTCGGCGCTACATCTAGAGCTTGTCACTGAACTCAGTACTGAAGGATTTCTCGCATCATATAAAAGATTTGCAGCACGACGAGGAGTCTGTACGACAATCACCACCGACAACGGGAAAAATTTCGTTGGAGCAAGCAAGGAATTACAACGGTTATTTGATTCAGCTTCTCGCGAATCATACATCATCACATCACAATTGGCAAAGCTGGGCACTACATGGAAATTCATCCCAACGAGAGCTCCCCATTTTAGCGGAAAATGGGAGGTAGCCGTCAAATCCACAAAATTCCATCTCAAGCGAGTGATGGGAGCATCAACGTTGACATACGAGGAATTTACAACACTTCTGTGTCAAATAGAAGCCATACTCAACTCAAGACCACTTTGTCCATCCCCCAACGACCCTGAAGATCCAGCTGCTTTGACACCAGGACATTTTCTAATCGGAGAGCAACTCAACAGTGTACCAGAACCCAATCTCAAGGATATCAAGACTGGACGTTTGAATCGGTGGCAACTTATCACACAAAAGGCACAATCGTTCTGGCAGCAGTGACAACGGGACTGTCTACAACGGTACCAAGCGATCTACAAATCGCAACAACCATCAACAGAGATAAAAGTCGGAACATTGGTCCTTATCTACGAAGAAAACTATCCACCATTGAAATGGCCACTAGCTAGGGTCATCTCGGTACTGCCAGGCAGAGATCAGGATATCAGGGTAGCCGAACTCAAAACAGCATCGAAGAAAACTATCGGACCAATCCACAAGCTCGTTCCATTGCCAATCAACGGGGCTGATGACTTACAAGATCTTATCGTGGAGCAACAAGACACTAATGCGGATCGTCAAGGAGAACCAGGGGAATCAGCACATCATGATGAAATGGAAACCAACAAACAGCAACCAGGCCCTTGTACTAACAAATAAAAAGTCGACAATCAGGAGATCATCGACGGCGGGTGGAATGGTAGAAAACTGATCCACATTTCTAAGAAGTGAATACACAACACTAACACTCATGAGCGGAAAAATTCCGAACCTAACCGAGGAGCCAGCTAGCCAACGCAGTCAAATCTCAAAATCAGTTATTCATCGTACTGAGAACTGAACTCACATCTTTTGTTATCACTTAAATTCTCTCGGAAAATGATCACGGAACGCAACAGCTATTACAGAAAATTATCTATCTGAATCATTATCACACAGTCCACTAAATTATCGAATCTGAACAAAACGAATGGGAACTCAACTTCTGTAAATAGTGTACATAATGACATTTTTATTAAACGCAATCAGTGAAAATCAACGTAAAATTCGTAATTGACCAACACCACCCGAACCCGGCCACATATACAGAGAAATTCTTACATAATTTGTAACATAACTAAAGACTTAAGACTTTTATTGAGACTTAAAGTTCAACTGGACGTAGGAATGCCCATCAGTGCTTCTAAACATGCCAGAACCGAATTGGAAGAGAATAAACTTCACAACCGCACCATGGCATCCATCGCTCTCGGGAAGGCAATATACTGAAAACTCTATAAATCTGGATCGGGTTTATAGTTGAATCCAAAAAACTTGTAAAATTAACGCACTGAGCCCTCATTGATGGTGATTTGATGAAGTATGCCAGCATCATGAAAATTCTACATTTTCACGGAGTTTATATGAGAAAAGCGTTGCCTCGAGGTTGACACTGGAAATGTGAATCAGCTATAGTCAATCTTGATGATAAAGATGGCCCCGGTACTCAATTAATTGCATATAAAAAGGAGAATCACGAACTTATCTACTTTGGTAGCTAAGGCAATTTGCGTTCACCTCCAGAGTTGATTAATTACTGCGGTGACGGTAGTGTTGTGCCATATAATCATAAGAATGATCAAAACTATGATACTGACATCTGTGGACATTTATGTTTGAAATTTCTCGCTGGTGAATTGATATATAAAGCTACAGAATGTTCATAATTATATCAATTGAGCGTTGACTATTATTAGTGATTCATTTACCTTGACCCTGTCGGCTGATTTTCTGTCCTAGAGGCGTGCTATTTTCCACCCATTGCATTATTACAGGAGAAATTGTATAGTGTGGGGCTTGTCCAATTATTTTTTTTTCGGCCGTTTCTACCCCGTTCCGGGATTAATCGTCTCTACACCAGGGCCCGGCAACCTTCAGGTAGTCGGGAGCCAGCCTATTACAAGGGTCGGGATAATCCTGTCATCCTAATGTGTACTCAATTAGCCAACCATTGTGTGCGAGTAAGTCCCAGTGGTGACGATATTTTAGTCAGCCACGTAGAGTGGCGTGCGAGTCGAATAAAAATGGCGGACTCACCAGAATTTGCGCCACATTTCAGTTTAAAATTTTAAATATAAAATTGAAAAAGTGAAATTTGCATAGGAAAACCTTGGAGAATTTATTTCCGAAATGGTAGTCGGCAATTATTATTGTTCTTTCAAATAGTAATATTGGAACTCTAAATTTGAAAAATGAAAAGTTGCCATTGTCGACTATGGAATATATTCCTGGAAATTCCATTGCCGATTTTCATATTACATTTTGATTTTTGCTCATTTTGGTACGTCAAAATGAAAAATGACATTTTTTATTCGTAGCATGAGAAAATCAATTTTCTCATTATTTCTCCGGTGAATCGTACCTTCTAATCTTTAACTTCGATGGAAGGATAGCATCTCTGGCACTGTTCGAGTTTATATTTATTACTTCAATTCCAATGTTTAGGTTTCCAAGAAACGAACCTGCACTATATTATAGTCCACCATATAAACCGCGTTTTCCATTGACCATGGTCATTCATCGAAACTGTCGGACATAGTTGTCACTTATTCGGGGCAATCCAAGTTCTATCCTTCCATCCATTACTATTGAAAACGGCATATTAATAAATTTTTATTGATTTTCGACAAACATTGAAATTGCACGAATATTGCTCATCCCTCTAAAATCCAAAATTAAAATTCAAATTAAAATTGCCGTCAAATATTGCATTTTTTTTAGTAAATGGCTGCAAATATCGTCTGGACATAAAATAATTCTGCACGGTGAGTGCTCATCATGAAAGCATTGAAATATTTTGTTTTCTAATATTGCTGCCTATTTCGAGTGAAAAATTGATATTTATATTTCAAATTTATGAAAAGTTGAAAATTGCCGCTCGATCACACGGCCACCCTCTGCTGATATTGGTCAAACTAGGCCTCAGAGAGAGAGAAAAATCGAATTAGAGCAGGTAGTTTCGTTAAGTGGATGAGGCCCCTCTCCCAGCTCTCACTAACGAACCTCGGGAGCCGCGTGAGCCCGATGAGCCCAGGTTGCCGGGCCCTGCTCTACAACCCTAACTAAACATGCGGCTGCGTGGGCCGACATCTACGCAGTACCACATTTGCACCCCCGTGAGGGGTAGGCCTATGGGGAACCACGCAAACCCGGCCGGTATAGTCGGTGGGCTTGATGCCTCCCGTTCACCCAGCGACTTGACTACCCTGGAATGATTTCCCCTTAATCGAGTCTTAGCAGTAAAAACTCGACGGAGGTTGGTATCAGACCCGGATCGCCAGAATGACAGGCTAGCGCCTGAACGTCTGAGCTACTGGACGTCGGTGCTTGTTCAATTTCTCACCTACAATTCAATTTCAAATATCTAGGAAGGATGTAATATATTTTACAATGAAAAAGACGGATTGGTGATGAATTGACTATACCAACAGGAAGCTATGAAATTACTGATACTGAAAATTTTTTGAAAGATCAATTATCAGTGTATGAAATCCCCTTTACTTTACGGACAAATGATTAGACGTTCAGACGGTGATTGAAGTACCCAAGGATGAGACGATAAATTTCTAGCCGTTCGACTCCATTGGATAACTACTAGGTTTTCAGAGACAAGTTCTAGCACATTTAACATTCTACAAATCTGTCACACCTCCAAACACCATCCATGTGCACTCTCTACGTTGCGACGTGATTTTCAAGGTTTCACGGAACCCTTCGTCCATTAGCCCGCCTTGTGGCACCAAAATACCCCAAAAATAAAATCAGAAAATTTAGTCAGGCGCTAGGGCATTAAAAACGGGATGACCACCGTAAACAAAATCCTTTTCCACTCTCAGCTTCAATAACTCCTGTAGCTCGTTACGTAGAGATTCAAATAATCGGAAGCTGAAAGGGGATGCAACTGGGATCCTCAGTAAAAAAAATAAATAAAGTAAAAGATTGTCGGGGAGAACAATATTTAATAGAAGGAAATCAGTCTCAATACAAAAAAAATGATAAAATACAATCCCCTTAAATCGACTAACGCGTTACAGAACATTTAAATTAATTGGT